TTTTTTGTGTTACGATTCCACAAGGAAGGGTTAGGGCGACGGAAGATGGGTTGTTTGGGCAACAGCAAGACTGAAGATCAACGCATCGACGAAAAGGCTCAACGAGAGGCGAATAAAAAGATAGAGAAGCAGCTGCAGAAGGAAAGACAAGCGTACAAAGCCACACACAGGCTCCTGTTACTGGGTAAGGCTGGTTAGCTGTGGGGAAATGTTAGCTAATCCCTTTCGTTTACCGAACACGTAGCCCCGTTTGACAGCGCTTGCAATAATATGTCATGGGGGTGGATATTGATGGAAGCGAGGCTCCACCGGAGCCTGCAATTAACTGGCTTCATCTCCCCCCTCCTCCTCCTCCACCACCAGCACCAGCAGCACCATCTAACCCCCCCCCTCCAAAAAAAAAAAAGAAAGCCAACATGGTACCGGAGAGGGTGTTTGTGTTTACCAGCATGTCTACGTGATATTTCATGGTTTTCTCTCTCTCTCTCTCTCTGGGTCTGTTTTTTTTTTTTTCGAAGGTGCGGGAGAGTCCGGAAAAAGCACCATTGTGAAGCAGATGAGGATCCTACACGTCAACGGCTTCAACGCGGAGTGAGTGCAACATCACCCCGCTCCTGCATGTCACACCAGCCGCTTATTCTCCTCCATGTACCCCCCCTTTTGCTAATGCACAACACTGCCGGGGCCGGAGCTCAGCCCCCCCCCCCCCAGTGAATTGGATTTTCCCCAGGCACTGCAGCGCCTGTTGGGCCCAGTATCCCAATGCAAAGCAGCTAATATCTGCTTTCTCCCTCTCTTTTCTCTTCCTCCTCCTCCTCCTCCTCCTTCTTTCCGTGCACATGTACACTTTATCATACATATGCGAGGATCTCAGATGCCAATTAATTCACTGTTTCCTGTTTCATGTGAGAGGGTGAAAGGTTGTGATCGACACGGGCCTATTGATGATTTGTTTTGCTGCAAGGCCTTGCATGGCATTGATCTTACCAGTGGTCTATTTTAAACAGGCCCAGCACATGTCGGAGTCCTGTAACTTTGCATGAAAATCCTCCTCATGAAGTGTTTATGAATGGGAGGCTGGATTATAGATAGGAGACAATATCCTGCAGTTTTAAGATACAAAAATCAAGAAACATCTCACCTACATCTCCACATCCCCTTACTTTTAGTTTTAATCAACCCCATCTTACATTTCGAGGTTACCCCATCTTCTACTGGCACGTATTCCCAGCCTAGACACCTGAGCTGTATGTATACATGTAGTAGCATTCTGTGTAACCCCTGTCTTACCCATAACCGCCCTGATTGAAAATGTCTTGTTTTCTGATATGGTTTTATGTTTTTGGTGACTGCTGCCTCACACGTCTGCTCTGTCCCCCAATAATGCAGAGAAAAGAAACAGAAAATCCAAGATATTCGGAAAAACGTGAAGGATGCCATAGTGGTGAGTGATGTTACACTGAATCCCAGTGCAATCCCATTTCACTGATTATTACACAGGCTTACGATTAGATTTTTTTCCATCCTGCTTAATGTTCGTTTTTTTTTCTCCCACAACTTCTGCTTTGTAGACTATAGTGTCTGCGATGAGCACTTTAATACCCCCTGTCCCGCTAGCCAACCCAGAGGACCAATTCAGAATCGAATACATCAAAAGCATAGCACCTCTCTCTGACTTTGACTATTCACAGGTAAGATGTTCATTAAGTTTTTGCGTGTGTGTGTTTTTGTGTGTTTGCAGATGTGAATATGAGACAAGGACAGATGTCCTACAGTGCTGCTTATTTGCTTTTTAATGTGTGTTAGTGTGGGTGTTGGATGGTATGTGATGAGAACATTTGCTTTTTTTATGGCCGACAGTGTTGATCTTAGCGATACAGCTCAAGGGGTGTCAGATCAAATTTAGCCCTAATCAGCCTAATGGTGCCTTTTTTCATCTAACTTTCTTTTATTAGAAAAGCTTAAGGTGTTGTCCCCTTAGTCTGGAAGTTAAGAATGAGAATGACAAATATCCTGTATGTTAATTCCCCATCAGAGCCAAAGCAGATGCACTGTATGTGGATTAGAATGCAGGCGGAAGCACATGGAATTCTTTTCAGTGTGTGATCAGTCATTCAATAGCGCGAGGTCATGTGTTGGAAATGTAGATAATGTTATACATAATTTTTGAAAGTGCTCCTTGTACCACCAAACAGGAATGACAAATTAAAACATAGCTATGGATAAACTCGTGGAGGTTTGGATGTTTCTTCTTCATTAGGGCACTTTTATGGGAATCAAACAAAGGTTTTAACGTGAGGTCAGACTTCTTTTGGTGTCGTGATCATAACTTTTGCTGTTGTTGCATCATGTTTCGACTGAGGTACCAAGTAATTTCAATGTTTCAGCTGCTGCTTTCCTATACACCAACAACTTGTTTTTAGAGCTAAAATGACAAGTTGATTGAGCCACAGAATCGATAATTGATCAATTTTAACAAGTGCTTGTATTTTACAAGCAAAAATGACAAAGACTCTCTAGTTCTTGCTTTCCTGGTGAGAAAATTGACCACTGTACTTGGTTTTATAAAGTTATAAACTGAATCCCTTCTTGTTTTGGACTGTTGGTTGGACAGAGGCCATTTTATACTATCTTGTGGTATTTTTTATAGATTAATGACTCATTTAGTCTTGTTTTATCGTCAGGCAAATATTTTATAATGTTTTCAGTTCTTCAACATTTAAAATAAGATGAATTTCATTTGTGGTCTTGAGCTTTTACTGTCATATGGTCTATGACACCAAGACGTCAAAGTTTGGCTAATGCTGGGTCCTCATTAACTGGGCCTCAGGTCTAATCCAGGCCATCAAAATGTTCTTTATACTCACAGTAGCATTGTCTTTTCATTGCAACTTTAGATCTTTGCATGATCTATCTCAAGTTCCCACTCCTCTTTGGAATATCCATGAGAAGGATTTTGGTGTTAATTTCCTGACAGGGTCCAAAGTGAGAGTGTTAACAGGGCGGCAGTCGTCTGTGCTCCTGCGATGTTGTTGTGTTGTGTGAGGGCCGGGGCCGTGGGGAGAGCCGGCGTCGAGTTCCCAGGCCCGGTCAGGCCAACGGGAACAACATGGCTCTGTGTGGAGTGTCTGTGCTTGTCATCAGTCTCAGGCTTCACTTGTGCTGTCAGTGTCACCACTACATTGTCACTTAGTGCCACCAGGCATGACATCCAATACAGCCATGCAGGAACACGGCCAATCAGGAACCTGTGGCTTTCACCTGTTGGCGCCGTTTTGAAAAGTGGAAGCAGATTTAACCTGGAAACTTTGGAACCGATGATGTCATGAAGAACCATGACTTAACTCATGACAAATATGCTGTTGCAGTGAAATTCGTTTTAGTAGCTCTTAAGCGATAAGAGCTGCTTTCACGCACCTGAATTGCAACCCTGAACTTTTCTAGACATCACCCGCAGGCGTAATGTGCGAATGCAATCGTCTGAATGAGTTGAACCAGACGTTAAACGGACTTTACCCTGCTAGCTCCCTATTATAAAGTCTGTGTAATGTCCAATTGAGCCCATGTGTGAATAGAGCATGCCATTGTCTGGAGACTTCACAGTCAGAGCGAGTGGGCGTGTTAATTCTACTGCACACCCCAGGTACAACCCGTCACCTAGACCAAACAGTGGTTGAAAGCACATCTCCCTTTGTGTACTGCCCTCGTGAAAGGGCAACTCTGGACAATGTCCGGAACTAATTCTCTGGACATCGTCTGTACGTCATAAGTGAAAACTGCTTCGGTATTTGGCGACGGATGAGAAGAAGTAGACGACAATAAATTATGAATTCCTACTTTTCCTGAGTGACTAGGTGAACAGAGGGATGGTAATAGCTCAGCATGTGATATTATGAACATTTTCCTTGGAATGCAACTGTTGCAGTTATTTTTATAATCAATTAATTTGTTGATGGTTGTGTTGATAAATTTAGTCAGTCAAAATTTGTGAGAAAATACCATAGCGTTTCCATGAAAGGTTCCCATAGTGCAAGATGATATCTTCAAATGTCTTGTGGTCAGCCAAAAGTCCAAATATCCAATATAATTCAATTTATAATGACATTAAACACAAAGTTAGCTAATCTTCACATTTGAGAAGCTGGAACCAGAAGAGTCTGAGACGATTTATTGATTATAAAAACTTTAGCAAGTCACATTCTGTTGATCGTCTGACTCATTAAACAGCTAACCGTTTCAGCTGTTAAGCATTTTTATTTTGGCTGCTGCTCTTTAAAAACACACTCACTGATTCAGACTTTCTGTTCCACTCATGTTTTGAAACTAGTGTCAGACCTGTGGTCCCAAGAATAGTCCTTTACTCTTTGTTGGAGACTGGAGTAAAGGTGTGTGTGAGTGTGTATCAATATAAATAAATATATATTGCACTGACATATTAGTAGTTAAAAACCCTGATCATTTTTGTCATTCTGTTTTGGTCTTGGCTGACTAGTCATTGTGTTTCCTGCCTGCTTTCTTGATAAATGGTTATTATACTGCTGTGTCATTGTGACCAATCTATGTGGTTAATAATGGATATTGCATAATGATTGAAATCCGTGTATTTATTTTTTAAACCAAATTGTGATACTCGAGTACTGTACTACTGTATATCGAGTATGAGTTCTTTGATATTAGGTATTGAGTATGGAAATTTAACGTGGCAGTGTCGTAAGGTTTGTGTCTCTTAGAGAGAACAACATTATGACGTGATGTGTACAGAAATTTAAAAGGAGGGACTTGCACCAGAGCCATTGCCGTGTGGTGGATCTACGTAAGATGTTATTGATGGAGAAGTTGATTAGGCTTCTCGTAACAATAGATTGCTTCCTGTATGTTATTCGTATGCCGATTTAAAAGCCAGGAAATTCATAGTCGATGCTGCTGTTTAAATAAATGAAGTATCTTTTTGGGATATTACACACGATCGGCTTTAAGTCTTTATCATCACCGCATCCCTTTTCAAAAACCTTTTTCCTACAGCAGCTTAGAATAACAGAGGTCCCATGGAAAAAGGCACACATTACAAACGGTAGTCTATGCAAATGGAAACAAATGCCACTGCAGTCGCTATGCTAGCCACCAGACAGTATGTGTCAACTGAAGTGGAGCAAATTCAAATAAGCCCCAGCCCCTGATTTGCACCATGTTAGCTTTCCCTCTATCAGACATGTGAAAGCCTTCTCCGTTCCGTGCTGAAACAAGCGGTTCACTGTAAACACTGAACAGGATTTGAGACGTGTTGATGTTCTTCATATGCACTCCCAATAAAAACACAAGGATTAGGTCCACAAAAGTTTATTCTTTGCTCGCAGATATGAGTTACAATCTGTTGTTACACGGCTGCTGAAGATGAGCTTCACACTTTGTCCGGCCCCACCCTTTGTGGAACTGATCTACTTTGTGCTGAGATGCAGAGACACTGTACTGATGTATATGGTTTAAGCTCTAAACCGTAGCTACATTTGAGTGTGTAACTTCATTTTATGTTTTTTGATTCGAGTTTACGGGCCAACCTGTAATAATGACTTTCTGTTAGAGAACGTGACCTGATTTGTGCTTCTTCTTTCCTGCACTGCAGCCAGGAAGGCTAACTCGTCTATAGCACTCCCTCCTACTGAATTCTTCATCATGAAAAGTGTGCCCTAGAAGTTTTTTTCTTGCATTTAATTAGTTGAAGAGATGTTATTTGGGGCAAAGGGTGGCATGGAGGGTTGTTCTGTTCTTGCAGTTGCCCCCTCTCCCTTTTTCAGCTGAATTTGTCTTGTACTGTTTAACTGAGGGAGCCCATTAAAGTCAGGTCTCTGTGCCGGGTGATTGTTATCTAACAGAAATGAGATGATGATGATTGTATCCCGTGGAATTCAAGTTTCTGTGTTGGTTGACTGCTATCTACCAGATATTCCTTTCAGATGAGATGATGATGGTTTACAATGGAGGTAGTTGGTTCTCCTCCTGGCTGTGACTGGGTGAACATGAGTTTGCTCTAAGGCCAAAGGTCGCTTCAAAACTTTACACAGGAAAAAAAAAACCAACCCCAGCATCCCGTTGCAACTGAGGATCCAAACTGTCCAAAGTCAAATCAGATTCAGGCCATTTTGTTCTCTGTGTCAGCCTGACCTATATGATTCAAGTGAAACACACCCAACTTGATGAACATTGAAACTCAGGCTGGACTGAAAATCAGTCATCGCAGAGCCGCCAGAAAATCAGCATCTCATGGCCTTGGACTCGAGCGGCAGCGAACAGGGGGAAGAGCAGAGGAAAGAGTTAAAAAAGCTTGTGTTAAAGCAAATTCCCTTCTGGTCTCTTTCTGTGTTATCAGTTCTTCTGTAGGGCACTGCAGCACACACTGCATTTATTCAAAGGCCCAGTGTCACACGCCTCTGTGGAAAAGAGCCCTGAGGACCATACTCTGATTTTTTTTTTTTCTTCTTTTCCTTCTCTGCCCCTTCCACCCTCTACCCCTCGTCCTCCCTCCATCCAGTCCCAACACTTGGTAGCTGTCGTCGGGCCCTTCTTTGGGTTTTAGAGCTCGTTTGTGTCTCCTGGTGTAAAAACTTAGCGATAACTAATAGCAAAAGAATGTAATCAGCATTGCTGAATCATATTGATATTAGTAAGGGTGGGTGTTAAAGTTTGAATGTAACAGTAGTGGAAGCAAATACAGGAAAGAAAGTAAATATGGCCTCATTGTCTTTTTTCGTCATGAGTTTCTAGCAGTAGGTAAAATGCTACGTTACACGAAGCTAAACCAAAGCTGTTAAGTTGAAAATAATGTTTGACCGCACTGCCAGATAACATGATGGCATCATAGTGTTTAGGTTATTCCTGACTTATGCCTTAAGATTGAGCCTATATTTATACGTAACAAAAAAAGTAAACAACTATTAACATCTGTCTCTGTGTGAGACTTTCTCTGTGGACTGGATCAGTGGATTTCCTCCATGTTGAACTTAATCACCGGATCTGCCGAGAGGAGCTCTCCCGGAGCATGTGATCATTTATCAGGCTCCTTCTCCCTCTCTCGCTCTGGTTCGGGGCTATTTTCACCCTCTCCCCAGTCAGAGCGCAGAGCCAGTGCTGAGTGCAGAGAGTCATGTGGTGGTTCCAGGCGAGAGGAGGAGCCCATCTGAAAGACGTGCACAGAAGGCGACGGGGGATATTAGCCCAATCATCTTTGTTTGGGGCATACAGAGAGTCCTGGGAAATGTCTCAAAGTCATTGATAAGATGAGTTCCCCTCATAATGCTCCCCATTGTCCAGGAGCAGGAAGTCAGCTGAAGCACTGAGACTATGTATAGCCATTTACAGCATCAGGCCTATGGATGGATTTTGCACAGCAAAGGGTGCTGGCTATATTTATGTACTTCATATTTTTTTATTCTATAGAGTTATCTAAATTTGATCACTGTTAGGCTATATCCTCCGAGTGTACCACCTTTGTTGCTTTAGCTTAGAGTTTAGAGGAGAGAGCTTGTGACCAGAAAGTCATGAGTTTGATTTCAGGAACTGTTAGATAAACGTGTGTTGAGGAAGTAAACGAGAAACTCAGTTCACCTCCCTCTGCTTCAGCTGAGAGTGAGGCTTACACTCGAGCTGCGATGAAAAATCATTTTCATTATCATTATCTGCTTTTTATTTTCTTGACTGAATTGATTAATCATTTGTTATATATCACATCACAAAACAGTTAAAATATAATGATTTTCTAGACTAACCTGCATTTCTCGTGTAATGTGAAACAAAGAAGAAAACTATTTAATTCCCACATTTGAGAACGTGGAAGCATCAAATTTACTACTCTTACTTCTGTATAAGTAAAAAAAAAAAGGCCAAATGGATCTCATCTGTTTAGTAGTTTGTGCTTGGGTTATGTCGATTTCCACAAAGTAATTGTTTTGTGACTTCTGTCATATTTATAGAAATATTTTCAAGTTTACAGGAGTACGCTATTTTCTGAGAGTGCTATGTGTTACAGTAAAACCTGGTAGCAGGGAGGAACAGCTAACCTGGCACCATCCAGGAAAAAATGCCTACTCATAATTTAAAAGCTCATTACTCAGCACGTTATATCTTACTTGTTTAATCCACACACACACACAGAAATATAAAAACAATAATTTCTGGTTTTCCTAGCCAACTGTATTGTGCAATGCATCCTGCACAGGTTGCTGGATGGTCTGTCTAAGTGAGTGTACAGTAGGTCAGAGTGTCTGTAGGCTTGATTGTACCGAACCTAACACTCCAGGAAGCTGCACGCAGTTGCAGTGCCCGGTTTGTCTAGAATAAAAATACAAGTTTTTCTGCTCCTGCTGGTGGTGGAGCTTGATCAAAACAATGCCTTGGACCCTGTTAACAACAGTAGAAGATGGTGGCTGTCCCGGGCAGAAGTGTATATTTACTGTATGTAACTGTGTTTGCAGGGGTCTGTTATGGTCCAATTGATGTATATTTTGTCATCAGAGGGTGTATTCCTTGCTCTGCAATTTAAATGTGTTACCCAGAGAAACTCATATATGCAAGTTTAGGTTATTTTCCCTCTGTCAAAATGTACGGGTATGTGCCATGTTTTAATTTTGCAGGTTATAGCATATGTATGTATGTGTGTTGTTTGGTACTTAATGATTTCTTTTCTCTTTTTCCTCAGGAGTTCTTTGATCACGCAAAGAAGCTGTGGGATGACGAAGGAGTGAAGGCCTGCTATGAGAGGTCCAATGAGTACCAGCTCATTGACTGCGCACAATAGTGAGTCAAAACTTGAAAAAAAAACACATTTCCGCTGCGACTTTGAGCTTTGCAAAAAATCGTTCATGAAAGAGGTTCAAAAATGATTTGCTCTCACGCACATACTTTGCTGTATGTATTCAGGTATTTGTGTATCTGTAAGATACTGTAAGCGAGCTGGTTTAACTCTTACAGCCTTTTTAAGCTATTGTCACGCTGCTCCGTCCGATGTGTCTCGTTTAAGGTGAAAGCTGTGCAGTGTGTGCTGGTGCCATACATGAATATGGTCGAGATGTATTTACTCTGGGTGTGGCAAGGCAAGCAGCAGTTGTATAATGGAAACATGGTCTCAGACTTTTGGACCTCACTGTATATCTTCTCAAGTCTGCATGTTTGACAATTCACCATGGCAATATGCAAAGCCTGCGCCGGCCTGTATTAAATTATCCAACTGTTGGATTCAGTGGATTTATATTGATAATGTTTTGGCCTGTAAAGCTGCTGCATTAAAATTAGTGTTTATTATTTCACAGTGGAGGGGTGGAAAAACCAACCTGTGGAGTTCATAGGCAACATTTCAGTGTGTCTCTTTGGAAAAAAGCAATGTGGGTCAATTTTTTCTTTTTATGCTTTTGATACTGTAGTTATGAAATTCTGATAGCTGCTGTGTGGCATGGTTGATGCCCCAGATTGTTTGGAAGGCTCTCTCAGTACCTTGGGCCCCCGTAGGGAGCTGGTTGTAGACAGCAGAGGGCCCCTCTGCTGTCTGTAAAAGGAAGTTTGGATATGCATAGTGATTCACTGATTCCTTCTGCTTCCTCTTTGACTCACCTCTGGATTCACATGTAAATATGAGGACATGCACACGGTGCAGACTCAAGGGTGCAGTCCACTGAAAGTTGTCCCCTCCCCATCCCAAAGGTTGTCTCCCTTTATTGCAGAGGGTTCGGTCAAAGGCACACTTTATCAGTGACTGGGGATATTGTCTTGTTGTCAGCGATTTGTGAGCCCACGTTGCATGGGTGTAGACTTGTGTTGAAAAAAAAGATGGTATAGCACGTAGTCAAACATGCATTACGCACCTTTCCTGAATGTCTTCCGTTCCTTGGACATAAATTTGACTTTAGGTCAAGTCTTCCCTGCCTGATAGCAGCTTCCATAGAAAGGGGAGAGATAGTCAGGTGATGGTTGGAGAGTCACATGAATCTGTAAGGTGGAGCTGTTACAGTCCAGGGCCTGTGTTTGTCTTTTCTGCTCTGTCTGCGTTTGTGTGCGCTGTGACTGCACAATATCTCAAAGAGCATCTTGTGTGTGTTTTTAAAAAAAGAAAAGAAAAAGTTTTTAAGTTAATATCCCAGTATCATAATGACACCAAACAAAGAAGTATAATAAACATTTGTAAACACACTGGTCTTTTGAATGCTGAATTCAAAAACCATATTCTCTATTAGTTACTCAAAACACTGGGGCTTGTCTGAAGCCCTGAAAATATAGTTGTCCTGTGACATGAGTAAACATTAACCGAGTGAAATGAAGACAGTGAAGAGCATACATTATTTAGATCGAGCGCTGCATGTTTATATGGGACTTTACTTCTGTTGGAGTCTGTGAATTGGTTTTGAAATTGGTCGCTATAGTTTTTGCTTTAATAAAAAGCATTTTCTACTTCTCATTCCAAAGAGAATTTGAGATGCTCAGTTGATGGAGGCCCGTCATTTGTACTGACAACACCTTTGTGTTTTCAGGCTCCCCCTCCTTTAATATTACTTTTTACCCTAAATCCTGCCCTTCAATATATCCTCCAGTCATCTCCTGTCTAACTGTTACATTGCTGCTCCTGATTGGTTGCTGAGCAGTCATATGTCTGGACATTAAATCATCATTTTAGTTAAGTGAATAAATAATGTTAATAAGTTACAGCTTCATGCAGTTTACTTAACAAATGTACAAACTGCAATTTTGTGTCTTGAGTGGCAGTTCAGTTGTTTGATGTTTGTTTTGTTGCTCAGCTGGTCTTGTCTATAATAAAGTACATATGTGATTTTGTGCTGTGAATGAAAACACCTTTAAAAAAAAACAAACTCTTCAAATATATAAAAATAAATCTGCTTTCAGTTGTAAGGAAAGACTCAGGACCTGCCATTATTTTTTTTTTATATCGTTTTCACTTTTGCAATTTGCAGCAGCTCTCACTCTTCTGTAAAAACATCACAATACACCTCTTTTGTCAGGATCATGTGTTTGATTGAAGTCTGGTATTTGTCAGATGACATGGCCTCTCACTTACTTCCTCCCTCAGTTTTAACCTCTGTATGAACTCTTCTGATGGAGGGCATTCAGAGATACTCTGTCCTACATGGCAGCAGACCTGTCGGTGTGAACTTCACACACACACACACGCACACGCACACACCATCTATTGTTATTATGATCACTTAACTACACTTAACTTTGTCAGCCTCTATCCTGTGCAACAGTGGCAGATGGCCTCTGCAGCCAACTGGTTTGAGGGGAAAGGAGCAAAGCTCATAAGGCAGAATTTAAATCATATTTTGGTGAATGGACTGTTATGTTGTTTTGTCTTTTCTTGTAGGTTCAGAAAATTACTTCCTCTATCTCCCTATATTCAGTTCAGGAAGTTGTAATTTCATGTTATTTTTGTTCTCCACACCTGCTGACTCTTATCTTATGTATCCAACCTCACGGATTTGTGTTTTGTGTGATGAGTGTCTTCAGTCATACTTAATTTTAGAGGAAGTTGGTTAACGTGTCACTGTTTGTGGGAGAAACAGATGAGCAGGCAGCAAGCTAACATGCTAATGCTCAAAGATGTTGTCATGAAATCACAGGGGAAGATATATCTATGAGTGATTATAATTTGTGGAGGCAGATTTTATACCTCTGCTGTTTCATCCGTGTTGTCCTTCACAGACCTTGCTCCCCTGGCAGAATTTTTTTCCAGGGCCAGCGACCCATTGGACAGAGGCACAGGAAATAAGCATGGGCCGATGGCGGGTGCTTGTTATGCCAAAGAGCATGTCCATATCGATGCATTTGGAATCCTGTCACCCATTGATCTGCCCTCTGCATTGCACATTTATACGTTTTAAGAGCACAGATATGTGTCTGCCAGTTGATTGATTACAAGCTATTTTCGGCTGCAGTGGGCTGGTTCCATTGCAATGCCTTGGATGGACATTTTTTCACACGCAAATTTGAACCTCTCACTTTTTTCTTTTGTGTATGAGTGCTTGTTTGCAGTCCCCCAGCAAATATGAGAATTCATGACACAGTTAATGCACTAAGGTATTTCTAACCGTAGTCGGATGATTACTGTCCAGTGTTAGATGATGTTTGGGCTGTGATGACTCTGTGTGTGTGTGTGTGTTGTGCGCAGTGGCTGGGATGTCTGGTTACAGCACCAGGGACTGGGGCTGAGCAGAGATGCCCTGGATGGAGATGGTGCTGGAGTCTGTGAATGTAACTGGAGAAATGAGGCTATGAAGCATATGAGCAGTGATACAGCAATAGAGTTTATTCCTGCACTTAGAATTAGGCCTGGGACTGAGGTAGAGCTGATGCTGGGTTAGGATTCCAGAGTGTTACGACTGGAGTTTTCTTGAGATGCAGACATTTGTTTTTTAAATTTTAAATTCAGTGTTAAACCTAAGCCTCATTTAGATCAGTTTGAATCAAAGTACAACGGCTTATTTGAGATGTGAAACATCAGATTTTTTCCCCAAAGGCTCAGTGCATTGTGCAGTATGAAAAAAAGGACACCGATGGGGAATATTTAATTTGCCAGCTTGTGATTGAATTTAACCTGATTTACTGGTATAAAATGATAAAACACATTCTCAAGAAAATAAATGGTATATTAGTTGATAATAAAAAAAACTTGCAGCCTTACCTTCTTTACCCAAACTGATCATGTGCCTGTGTTTAACTTAACTGAAACTTCCTAGTTATTAATTGCCAAAGTCCCTTGATCACTTCTTTTAACACCATGTTCTGACACACACGGAGATGAGACTGGTTTTGCTTGAAACATCCATTTATCCCAATACAAAAGCAATATAAACATATACAATAAATTCAGGAGGAACACGTTTTATCTTGGGGGAAAGTGTTTTTTTTTAGTTATTTCATTATCATTTATTTGATCAAGTAAGTGTTTAGGTCAGATAATAGTGAAACAGGTCAATTCTCAGTGACGTCTTTAAATGTCTTGTTTTTGTCTATCAAACACTCCAAAAATAAATATATTTAATTCATAATGATATGAAACAAAACCATTGAGTTTTTAACTTTAAATTGACTTAAAAGTTAATGATTAACCATCAATAAATAAATAGTAATTGTTACAGCTGTAAAATAGATGATGTAAGGGCTGTTATGTTTATTAAATAAATCCGTCATCTTCTGCTATTCTCTGGACTTTAAAACTTTAACCTCAAAAATATGAATGCTCCTATAATGAAGGAAACTATCAGCATCACAAATGTTTGAATTCAAAAGCAGCATTATAGATGAGGGGGAAATGTTGTATGGGTGGCCCAGGATGGAGAGGCACTGCTGGGACCGGACCAGTCTCCTGCAGTCCTGGAGATGGGGCAGGGTTGTTGATAGACATATCTAAGACTGGGTCTGGTTCTTGGCCTAGGCTGGGGCTGGGGTGTAGTGCTGGTCACGGGACTCTGTCACCAGCCTGGGGGCCACTGACACAGTCATCTGGGGCAGTAAAGTTCTAAGAATGGCCGGCATTGTCAGCCAGCCCAGGCCCCTGAAGGGCCTACAGAAACAGAGGGGCTACGCTTCGCAAACAGTGGCTCTCCTCAATAAGGAGCCTCTTCTGTTCACGGAAGAGCCCGAGAGAGCGATATTTATACACTGGCTGCATGTCACCCCTGCTTTTTTTATGTCACCAATAAGTTTCCTGATTTCTTCATGTTTTAGCTGATTTGATGTACAAACAACACCAGGGGATAAGGCTGAGCTCTGGGTGTCTCTTAACGTGTCTC